GTGTCTACATGAGTTTTTTTCCTTCAGGCTAATATCATACTCTCTCAATTTCACACCTTAACAATTCTTACTATCCCACAGTATTACATATTCCATAGTATGAGTGTTTCAGATTCTTCTTCAAGATTGCCTTGCAACTGGGCATAATAGTTCATGCCTGGATCACCAGCACTTGGAAGGTTGAGGTAGTAGAGCCATATTGTGAGATCCTCTATTTAAAAAACAAAACAAGGGGCTGGGAATGTGGCTCAGTGGTAGAGTGCTTGCCTTGAACAGATGAGGCCCTGGGTTCAATTCCTCAGCACCACATAAACAGAAAATGCCAGAGTAGTGCTGTGGCTCAGGTTGTAGAGCACTAGCCTTGAGCAAAAGCAGCTCAAAGACAGTGCCCTGGCTCTGAGTTCAAATTCCAGGACCAGAAAAAAACAAAACAAAAAACCTCAATCTTCTTTGCCTTTTCCATTTTCAAATACAATTTTAGAATAATCTTATCATAGCTTGTCAATTTTGAGTCCTTTTTATTTAATTTTTTCAGGTCAAGTTGAACGCTCTACCACTTGAAGCACAGCACCACTTCCATGTTCTCATGGACATTCTTGCTAGGGCTGGTTTTAAACCGAGATCCTCATATCTCAGCCTCCTGAGTAGCTAGGGTTACAGGCGAGCTACAGGCTCTCAGCTCTGAGTCCTTATTAATCCACATGCTTCTCTTTTGCCTTTTTGTTTTGTTTTGTTTGTGTTTGTCCTGGAGCTTGACAGCACCCAGGGCCTGCGTGCTGTCTCTGAGCTTCTTTTGTTCCATACTCTACCACTTGAGCCACAGCTCTACTTCTGTATTTTTTGGTAGTTTATTGGAGATAAGAGTCTCACAGAGAGCCTGGGAAGGTGGCTCAGAGGTAGAGCACTTGCCTTGCATGCATGAGGCCCTGGGTTCAATTCCTCAGCACCACAGAAGCAAAAAGAAAAAAGCCGGAAGTGGCGCTGTGGCTCAAGTGGTAGAGTGCTAGCCTTGAGCTAAAGAGCTGAGGGACAGTGCCCAGGCCCA